GCATGCACCCACACATGCACGGATCCACACATACACACATCCATCCACACACGCACACACACACGTGCACGCATCCACACACGCACGTGCAGTAGGATGGGGGAGCCGGGAATCGAACTGCTGACCTTTGCGGGTAGGCGTCCTGTTATAGTTGCTGATTCGTGTGTTTAGCAACACGTGGATTCATTTTCGGAGCGTTTGTCGTGTCACTGCTCCGTACCTGAGCAGGTGGTTGTGATTTGCTGAAGAAAAGCAGAAGCCTCTGATATCTGTACACGTGTCTGTGAAGCATCAGCCCGCTGAGCTCGTCTTTGTTCTGCCATTTCTGCTGAGTTCTGCTCTTCTTCGTGTCCTGTGCCGTCGCCGTCCTCTGCGCCACTGTTTTATTTCCTCTTTTATATGCAGCCCATTTGGCTGAAGAGGTTTTTTCACAGCCCACAGGTCTCTGATGGGTTTCCATAAAGACGGCCGGGTCGGCACTTACACTTTGCTGCCGGATCCTTCTCTGTCACACTGACCAGAGAGAGACCCCGTTACACGCCCACGCCTCGTTAACTTTTAGAGGTCAGGTGTGCAAGAACGAGCTACTGCCGTCGTTTCACTTCATTCTGCTCCTGTTTGTGCAGATAAAGAGCTGCCACGGCGTGTTCAGCCGGCTGAAGCCTGCGTACGACAGAAAGGGAGCCAGAGGAACCCAGAGGACACTCAAGACCCGCTTTACTGCTGCTTCACTTTATTTTACCGAGAAGGCTGTAAAACCACGCTGCTCAGTGTCTCCACTGCAGTAATCTGATTACTGCCTACTTTGGCCAAATGGATTTCTGAACGTTTCAGCAGTAGCTTCAGCAGCTCTGGGTTTAAAACTGAAGCCTGTCAGAGTTGTTTGATTTGTCTACAGGACTTCCGGTTAAATTCCTCTGCTGTGTGAGGTTTGAAGGTCTGTTAGTACAGTAACCTTACAGCGGCCATGTTATTGGTCAGATTATGTCATTTTGACGGTCCAGAGGTCCAGTTCGCGTGACACTAGCAGACAGCTAGCAGCTACACCACCTGTGTCTCCATCCACCTGTCAGTCACAGAGGCCACGCCCCAAGAAAGCTAAAACGTCCCCTGCACAGTTATGAAAAGGAGGGAACCGTGGGCGTCTATGTGGAGTGACTCACTACTGCCTCTGCTGGATGTTAGGGGAACTGCAGCTGTGGTTGTTTCAGCTGCAGAAGGAGGATCATTAAAGACTGTAAGCCCAGGTGCGACCTCTGACCTTTGTTTCTGTCACACAGCAGAAACATGGCTGTTGGTGGAGTTTCCTGTGGGAGTGATGCAGTTCTTTTTTTTTTTTTTTTTTTTTTTTTTTCTTTCCTGTGAGGATGGTCATGTAGTCATGTGACGCTGCAGTCGCTGCAGCGAGGCGGTTACAGCAGCCGTTGAGGATCCTCACATGAACCGCAGCGCTGCAGCGATGCTCTGTCCTCATCGTCTAATGGCAGAGATATTAAATGACAGCGTCTTTAAATCTTATGAATATGAGGCCAGGCAGTCACGGCCAATACACATCAGTCTGCAGAACATCCTGTTAGCATTATGAGCTCTCTACCGCTGCCGCCGTCTACTCCTCACCTCCATTATACGCCGTGATGGGCCGGCTTCCCGGGCCCAAATTAAAAGAAGAGGAGCAGAGTCCTTGACGATGAGGCTTCGTCGATGGAAATTAGCTTAAGTGTTGTCATTAATATTTCCCGGCGCGGGCTAATGTCTGCATCGTAATGTTAAGAACAGGATATCCCCTCAGTATCTGCTGAGGAGGCTCTTTGGGGAGTTGGAGATGAAGGCTAATGTCCAAAGTCAGGCGAGTTTTAGATTTAGTGCGAGCTGCAGAGACACTCTCACACTTTCACATGAAACACTGGGAACCATGATGGATTCTGATTTCTGCCTCCTTTTGTCCTTCACGACCTCCAGAAATCCAAATTGAGTCATCTTGTGTGTTTTCCACAGACACGGGAGTCATCTCGACTGTGAGTGTTTCATTATTTCTCACACCTGTCCTCTGAGCAGGTGTGAGAAACAAGAAACCATTAAAGAGCAGAAACGAGCTGAGAAACCACAAAGTCCTTTCAGATTCAAATCTATGTTTTTTAAAGGCGATCTGGCCAACAAAGCCGAGTGCTTACAGGAATGATGAAAATCATGTCTAACGCAAGCAGACAGAAATACAGCCAATCAGAGCAAATGGCTAATGACACTGTTTAGTCAATTGCATTTGATTACGTCTCTGCAGCGCTGCCAGGTGAAAAATGTCTCCGTGTGTTTATCGATGCATCTCGTGACACGTTGGAGGCTGAACATTCTTCAGACATGGTGAACCTGAGCTCACTGGTGAAGTTTGAAGCTGCTGGATTTCCTGTTGTCATTTCTGTCTTAATTACTCGGTTGCTCCTCTGGAGCGTCATCTCTGAATGCTGCCGTCTGTGTTTCAGGGTTTCAACCAAGCCGCCATGCTTCCACAGAGCCTTCATCTGGAGGAGGAGGAGGAGCCAGAGCTGATCCTGGATGCTCTCCCTCGCTACGCCACCTCTTCTCTGACCTCTGACCTCCGGCCAGAGGAGGAAGGCAGGGAAATGGGTGTTGATGAAGAGGAGGTAGAGCCGGAGGACAGCGTGAGCCCCGCCCCCAGGAAACCCCCACCATCTTGGGAAGAGTGGAAGTTGGCCTCCCTTACCCGAGCTGGGGGGGCAGAGGAGGTGAGTTGACGAGCAAGAGGAAGTTTCATTGACGTTGACTCGCTCACACAAAACATGAAGTGAATGGCTGCGAGCGGCAAGGTATTGGCTGTTACTCATTACCCTGCCTACGGTCCCCCATGTTTCCGTGACCGGGGGTGGTGCTGCCTCTGCAGCGACGCCCCAAAAAACCCAGAAACTGTTCTAAAGCACGACTTAATTGATATGACGTGTCCGAACTGCCCGTTGGCACTGTTTTTATAGGGGAAGGAGCTGGAGAACCATACGCTCTCCTGACTCCACCTGCACTCAGGTGGTTTTAGGCTCAGACACACCTTATCTCCAGTTTCTTTCATACTGTTCATATTTGGGTATTAATATTTCCAGCATGTTTTTAATGGGAAAAGTTCAGCAGTTTAACATTCGTATGTTCTCTAAAGGCTGATTTCTGCGTGACTGGATGAAGGTCAGAACAAAAGTCCTGACATTCTGCTTCTGTATGTATTTGTAGTTATTTGGTGGTTTTTGTCCTCAGGCCTGGAGCAGAGAGATGCAGGAGGAGGAAGACCTACAGAGATCGGACCATGAAAGCATTGTGTCTGTGGGAAAGCTGATTCTGGGTGAGAGGAGAGCGCCCGAGTCTAAATCATGTTTAAGATAATTTAGACTCAAGATCCATGATCTCTCTTTTTTTTCCATCTCATGACCTGGCGAATAGGAACAGGATGTCATTTAAAGAAAATCCACCTAGATCAGGGTCAGCGGTTCTGCAGTTCATGGTGAAGGATGAGGATGAGGTCCTCACAGTGATAGCAGTACAGATGTTTGTGTGTGTTTCAGGTCTTCCAGACTCCAGAGACAGCGAAGCAGACTCTGAGCTGACTCTCACGGACACTGACACCGAGTGAGTTCCTGCTGCACCTTCACGCTCGCCATCACTCTTCCTCCTCATACACACTCGCTCAGAGAGTCAGAGGTCTGTTATTGTGCTGTATGTCGTGTTTGAACAGCCATATCTGCTAAGAGAGGTCGGATCTTCTGGAAACAGAAGCTTCGATCACACCCCAAGTAACGTCTGGTGTCCTCTTCGCTGCCGGATTAAAGTTGCCCACAGTGCTGAAACCTGCTAACTGTTCGCAGCTCACAAACTTAGACCTCACACACACTCATTTTCTCCTTCATCAGCTACTCTTGCGTCCCGTCACAGTGCTGTGGCACCCTCTGCTGCTCTCACACTCTAACTGCAGTCTGATTTCTCCATGAGTCAACTGTTTCCTGCTGTTTTTAATAACATATGGTCAGCGGGCACCCAGCGCTCACTCTCAGCCTCGTTAGATTAATCTGGATCATCGATCATCAAACCAGCCTCAGAGTTTAATCACAGAAACTTCCTGTCTGTGTTTTTTCTTCCCCTGGAGGTCTGTCAGGAGGATTGATACTGCAAAGAGGAAAAGGCGGAGCCAGGGGGGAGCCTCTCTGCCAATCAGAGGAGGCCACAGGTAGGACAGCCGCTTCACGTTCTGCTGGTTTGAACACAGATGTAAACAGGTAGACGCCTCAAATGTGGGTGCATTTCTGTTTAGAATCATCGCTGCTTTATGTGGTTAAAGTTTGACATGTGTCTGTGGCCCAGCATCTCACCTGTTCGTGATTTTCAGGTTTTCTTTCTTTCAAAAAGTAGTGTTTGACTGTGGGTCTGTGTTCACAGTGACTTGCCTGAAAGAGAGGAGGGGGAAGGACAGGAAACACCTGCCTTCAGTCACTGGGGACCGCCCCGCAGGTAACACACACACACACACAGGTACATTATGATATCCCAGGAGATTGTGTACAGGTCAGGTGACCCAGAGAGACTGGTACATTATTCAAACTCGCTGCTGTGCAGGGTGGAGGTGTGGCCTGAGGAGGGTCAGTCTCTGGGTCTGAGCATCGTCGGAGGTCGCCATGTCATCAAGCGACTGAGGAATGGAGAGGAACTGAAGGGAATCTTCATCAAGCAGGTTTTACCCAATAGCCCCGCCGCCAACACCCACTGTCTGAAGACCGGGGACAAGATCCTGGAGGTAGGGCCTTGTCTAATTCCTGGGTCTCTATACACACACACACGCGCGCACACACACATGCGCGCTACATCCATAGTTTACACACAGCCTGAGACTGAATCTTTCAGAGCGACCCGTTTATGAAGGAAAAGACTTTATAAGTCTGTAAAACAGTTTTGTGATTAACATTTTCATAATGTCTGACCTTCAACTCCGTGTGTGTGTGTTTCTGTGTGTGTGTAAAGGTGTCAGGTGTTGACTTGCGAGCTGCCAGTCACGAGGAGGCGGTCAACACAATCAAATCTGCCCCGAGCCCCGTTGTCTTCATCGTCCAGAGCCTGACAGCGACTCCACGGGTACACACACACACACAAATCTGTATGAAGTTCTAAGCTATCAACTTTTGTTAACTGAGCATAGACAGAGGTTTCTGTCTCATACACGTCAAACGCTCCAAACTGTTTGATTCTTCGAGTTTCTGTGTGTTTAATTGTGTGTGTATGTGTGTTTCAGCCCATGTCTCTGACAGCTTCAACCGTCAGCAGATCCCAAACGAAGAGGATGGAGTCTCCGGTAAGAGCTCCACACTCTGTCCGTCTGTATTAACGAGGACACACAGAAATGTATGTGTCTGTGAGATGCCTGCACAGCTCGAAAGAGACCAGCAGAGGGCGACACAGCCTCAGCACAAACAGCGGCATGTCATTCTGTAGCTCACAAATCACATTTAACAGATTAGATCTGCTGCCTGTGGAGACTCAGATAAGATGAGACTGAATTTATTTTTCCCAGGATTTGGAAAATCCATCTTAGAGCAGCCGAAGACGACACGAGCTGTAACATAATCATTTACAACATGACGGAAACAACAGAGACGAGTTTAATAAGTAAGAAATGCAACAAAACCCTGTGAGAGCAGCTGAATATGATCCTATAAAACAGCTTAGAATGGGACAAAATAAAAACATCTTACTGACGTGGGCTAACGAAACAAAATGATCGGCTCTTTCAGTGTGAAATAAGATCTGATGTTTGATGGTGTTTGTCCTCAAGCTGCAGCCGGGCGCTGCGTCCACACAGGGCACGGTCCTGGTCTGAGGATCAGTGTGAGAGGACGTCAAAGTCTCAGCTTCAGCCATGCTTAAACCACACTCACTATCATACTCCACAATCTTTATCTAACGCCTTTGAGACAGATGGACAGTATAAAGAATCCATAATAAAGCTGGCAGCCTAATTAATAAATATAAAAAGAATAAAATAAGACAGAGCTCTGAGACAGACGTCATGATGGAGTGATCGACGCAGGATTGTGCAATGCAGTCACGCGAGTCCTCAGAGCTTCCAGTGTTTCTTTGTTAATGGCAGCATAGCCTCCAAAACTCTGATGCAGGAAACGGCAGCAGAAACTGCACGAGAAAGACAAACTGGAAAAAACAAAAACTGAATTATACAACACAAAGTCTGCTGTGGTAGTAGTTTGACTTTACACGCTGCAGGCGACCTCTACAGTTACTAGAGATGACCAAGCAGGGCTTAGATCAGAGTTTAAACTGAACCGTGCAGCATGGAGCCTAAAGGTTGGAGGTCATATTGGTGGTGGTGCTGATTGTTTCTTGCTCACAGCTGCCATTTAGTTTTACCAGGTTTCAGTGTGTTACAGGCTCCTATCTCACACAGCCCGAGGCTCGTGCACAACCGTCTGCACACTTATGGTCTATAGTCTGACTGGAAGTCAACAGAGTCCATGTTTTTATGAATAAATGTGTTTGTTTGCAGAAATCAGAGGTAGTGCTGCCCCCCCCGAGACAGCCCCCACCCTACAGGCCTCCCAGCTACTCAGACAAGGAGCTAAACTCTGACTTGGAGGAGGCCAAAGGTCAGTATCACACAGCAGAATCTGTTACAGTGATGTGGTTAAAAGTCGTCTTTATTTTCTATGCTTTGGAGAAATACGTAGTTCCTGTCGGCAGTTGTACTGCCTTCATAACACTGAACACACACATGTAACCCTCTGTATACACAAGCACACCTGCAGCCTGTGCTGGAGAGCTCACACTACCTGACCTTGGGTGGCCGGTCAAAGCCCAATCATCTGTGTTCTCACCGAATTTGTCATATTTTTGAGCTTTTGCAGTCTGAGATCAGCCAATCAGCCAGCGGCAGCATGTGACCACAGAGCTATGGCTGGGGGGAGGGGGAGGTAAGGGGTGAACTGTGCGTGATGCTGTGTGGACTTGGGTCTCAGAGGAACTGCTGGGGCATGGTCAGGCCTGGTAACTTCCCTCTATCGTCAGAGTGTCACAGCCAGATAAAGGTTTGATCGCTTACGTCCTGCCTGCCACTTGTTTGCTCAAAGGCACTTCAGCAGCAGTGCAATGAAGCAGAGGATTTAGCTGCGTGCACGCGTCTGAACAGGTTCAGGTTAAAGCTGAAGCAGGAACTCATCACGCTCTTAGCTTCATCTCAATCAGGTCACGTCTGTCTGAAGAACGATTACCAGAGAATCTGTTTCTGCAGCTGTCACTGAATATCTAACGGGCTTCATTTCATCTCAGATCATCTCCTCGATTTCCTTTCAAGGATCTGTGTCTGAATGTCTGTGTCATGTGTTCCAACAAAACTGAGATTACAGCAAATATCTGAACATCTCAGTTAATCTGGACTTGTTTTATCTCACGTTAACTATCAGAATATTTCACATTGTGTAGTTTTTCTTGCTGAACCGCATTGGGTCTCATTTTGGATCATGTTAATTTACTTCCTGTGATCTGCGGCACTAATTATTTGAAAGCCTGTTTTTGAGTCTGTTTTAATTTTTGTCTCAGTAAACATACATCAGTATCTCACTGTTTGTGTGTGTGTGTGTGTGTGTGTGTTTGTGTTTCTGTTTTTGCAGGCCGTGTATGAACCGGCTGGCCCTCCGTCCCGTTCGTGACGTATTTCAGCACAAGCTAGATGCTTTTGTTGGGATTTTTGTTGCTCTCAGTTCCTCTCGGTCTTTCTCTCTCTGGGTTTCTGCTGTCTTTGCCTCGCTTTGGTTTGGGTACGTTTGGTTTGCTACGTCTGAAGCGGGTGGGCGGACGGGGCTGTCGGCTTTTTCATTCTGACCTCTGGTTTTAATGGGATGTGGGTTTTCTGAGCTGGCATCTCATCTGGGATTAGGGTGGATTAGCTTTTTTGGTCAAAGCTGTTTCCTCTAGACTTCAGCTGTCCTTTTAAAGCCTGTCTTCATTTTGGAAGTCTGAGTATATCTTTATCTTGAAACACTAAACTGGACACTAAAATTCTGCAAGTAAAATCTTTCAATGAATGACACAGAACGTCTTGTTTAAAGAAAAATGATGTATAAATGAATTGATGTTGTTTGTGTCAGAGGTTAAATGCAGGTTAAGTTTTATATATTAATAAAGTTTCTGTAATTGGACTGACTAGTCTCAATAAAATTACCTTTAAAAACAAACACAAACCAAAGTTTCCATCAGCTTCATCTTCAGGGTCTTTGGCGTGAACCAAAGCAAAGCTCATACTTTTAGCGTGTCCTCAGACTTGTGCGTTTCTTGTCTGTGGAATGATGAACTGGTTTGAACCTGGAGAATGTTATGTTCCTTAACCTTCCTTAACTGGTAAAGCTGAGGAAGAGCTCAGTCTGCTGACTGTTAAACAAAATAACTCTCAGTTCCTCTCATCTGAAGTCAAAAATGTTGGATGGTCTGGCATGAGTCCTGGATCTTGGTTTGGGACTCTGGGACCGGAAGTTCAGTCTTTGCTGATCTTTAGCTTGGATGCTGGTCCAGTTCTCCATGTCTGACTTTCATCCTGGGTCGAGTAACTTTCTTTTAGCGTGAACTTGAAAGAAGCTCATGGTCTTTATCCAGGCCTCTGTGGTCACTAAAGCTCAGTCTTAGGGTTATAAACACTCACCCCTTTCCTCTTTAGGCGCACTTCTCTTGTTCACTGGTATAAATTCTTGGTGCAGCTGTATCCCATTGGTCTCTATCCTGGAATCTAGGACTGTTTGGTTCAGTTTTTCTGACCTTTAACCTGTTCTCCTAGGCTTGAACCTTATCTTTGGGACTAGTCAGGCTAGGTGTCTCCAGATTTTACCCTTGCCTGTGTAGGACAGCTGAGGCTTACTTTAGCTTGGACCTGGGATAGCCAATGCCTGGTACCACTTTGTTTTTCAGGGTGGACTTGTGGACAGACCGGTCCTGTTAATGGGAAACGGCATCAGCCTCCAATGACATGTGTTTTCAGTTTGATGGTGATAAACTGACAGAATGAAACTGCCAAATGTTTCATGTTTGGCTTGGGAGACAACGTCTGTCCAGAGGTTTGTGCCAAGTGCAAATTTTACGGCCTGTTGTCATGCTTTGTGCCAGCTGTCTGATTTGTATATTAGTTGTGGCAAACAGAAATGTCTGAAACACTCGAGTGCGAGGGCAAAGTTTGTGCAGGGCACTGGGTTTCCGGTGAATCTGAGCTTTTTCACTGCAGTCTCATAAGAGTCAGACACAAATACAATAAAGCTTACATGAGCAGGGATGGAAGGAATGATGAATTGATGGTGCTTTTCTCTCGGGCCACGCCGCTGCCTGCTCTTCTCTCTCGGCTTGTTGTCTTATTTATATTCTTGGTGAAACATTATATTGGCTGCTGCAGCAGTAATGAATGATTCAGATCAATTCCACATGCTGTTTCAGGTTGTTTGTCTCGCAGCAGAACGAGCAACCGAGCAAATAGCCTTCATCTCTGTAGCCTCTGAGTAGATTGGTTTTACTGTACAGCGTCAGGGTCAAAGCACGTCATCGTGGAGCTAAAAAACTCCATGAATCATGTGTCTGCTGCGATATCTGATGGTAGACTGATTGTGTCGATGCAGAGGAAAATAAATCACCACTGTTACCAAAACCAGCTCCTGTTTGCGTCTTACTTACGGCCTGCTTTAAATGAAAGCTTACTCCATCAACAGGAAAAGCACAGTAGTGCATATAAGCCTTTAAATCTTGGTGACTGGTCGGGATGGAGAACAGATTTGACATTTTATTAATCGTGAACAGTTCGTGTGTGCACACAGACTTGTGTACAAAATTAGCTAAACACTGTATAAATGACGGTCGTTGATTCATTGGTTTGTAAGATCCCATTTTTATGTGTTGAAGTTGCATTCACAGACACAGATACCTGCTAATCAGCGCTCGGTAACATCCAATCAAAATCCTTAAATCTTACTGTGCACCCAAACATCGCCTTCTTTGAAGGTGTGTTAGTACAGTAACCTCCCAGCAGCTTTGTCATTGGTTAGATAACACCATTAAAATGCTCCAACAGCACAAACATGGTGCAGAGGTCCAGTAAAGGTGAAGCTAGCATCCACCTGTATCACCATCCACCTGTCAGTTAGAGAGGCCACGCCCCTAGTAATACACACAGTTTGTGTATTGGGCTGTGAACATGTTAATTCAATTCAAGAGAATGCATTTAGCAACCTAATTAATGAAAAGCATTTAAACACATAATTTTATTATATAAAAAAATGGCATCAAACATTTTAGTAATGTTATGCTTGGCTGAAATCAGTTTTGTGTGAATGTTGTAACCTGTGTCCTCAGCTTTTAGCTTGTGCATGAGAGGCTGAATAAAAAAAACAGGAGATGTCTGCAGCTTCCACCTGTGCTGCATCATAGCACATTATTCTGCAGGTAGAACACACACTCAGGTGTGTGTGTGCTGTTTAATCTTGTAAAGAAACTGCAGTATGTTGTGAAGAGGAGCTCTCTGATGGATGATTGTCAGCTCTGTGAGGTGGATTTAGAAGTTAAACGGGGATGAAGGGGGTAAATGCAGGATTAAAAGTCACACACCTGGTGATCGAGGTGATTTAACAGAGAATTAACAGGTCTGATTTAAATCACTGATCTGTGGTCTGATCAGCACTGTGGCAGTTTGATCGATTAAAATGTCCTCCTGAAATTCCAGTTTGAGGATTAAAATTCTTCCTCCACCCAGGAGTAATAACGGGCAGGATGCTCAGCGGCCGTGTCCATGATGTGTCTGGCGTTGCGTCTTCTCCTGCAGATTCGTCCCTATCCAGCTGACCGTCGTCATCAGTTTCAAAGCTCTCTGCTGTGGTTCTTACAGGTTACACAGCAAAACGATGACATGTTGTTCCCCAAATTTGTGCTTAATGCAGCGCTTTTCCGCAGGCTGGGTCCGGTTTTAACTCAGATACTTACAGTCTGGGAGGAAGTGCTGATTACAGGTATGAAAAAAGAGCCATTCTATAATCTTATTGAAATAAAGTGGATAAAAAGTGGATTAGTAAGATTATCCCCACCTGTTCTGTGATTCTACATGGATCCACCCCCAGACTGAGAGCACCTGATGGACAATAGAAGAGATGGACGTAGCTTGTGCTGAAGTGCCCCAAGCCATTCTTTCTCTTCTCCAACAGAGGGTGACTGTGTTTTGCGTGGCCGTAGGGAGGTCTGTCAGAAAGCGGCCATTGGCTATCCTGCTCTATAACCAGAGTAAACAGTTTCTCGTCCTTTTAAATGAAACATGATGTTTGTTTTATAAATCGCCGTCCTGTTAAACTCAGACAGACATGTCGTCCTCCGTTTCTCAGTCAGTGACAAAAACTCGACTGTACTGTTTCACCAAGTCTTCACCACAAAATGTGCTGGTTAACATCACGGGGATGTAAGGAGATCAGTCCTCACAATAGACTCTAAGCTTATGCCCCCATGTTGTTATTACCAACAACAATATGCTACTGTTTTTACATTTAGCATATTGTACCTACAGGATAGGGATTTCAGAATGTCAAAATATGCTGATGGCTATTGTTGGTCTCTTTCAGAGGAACAGGAAGAACAG